TGCTTTTAAAATAAAGCTTCATATAATGGAATCATTCAATAATTCAATAATTATTCTTTAAATGGAAAGAGTGCTTATCATGGGTGGGTGTTCTGTGTTTGGCTTCATTCTCAATATTACATTGATAAACCATATTGATGTTGTTGGGTGTAATTATAGTATATTTCCCCAAGTTTTGTCATTAGATCTGTCATATACCATGGGGCATCCATTGTACCCTTGATGAACATTTTGAGCTTTGACTATTTCAGAGTGTGGCTGTGAGCTGTACACTTTTTATTTGTGTGTGTGTATGCACATGCATTGTTTAGTTTCTCTATAAACTAAAAGGGAAATTACTAACTGAGGACTGTTGCCCACAGGATAAAAGGAACATGGAAAGGGAAGGTTGCACACTGTGATTTTCCTGGAGAAGCTTGCTGGCTGGTTTTCCTGGTACAAACTCTGCTGTTTTCATGGTCAGAGGGCCTCAGGTCTTTGCTGTTGCTGAGGATGGCTGCGGATCTCCTTGGGGAGCTCTGGTTCTTACTCTGAGTGTCGCTTCCTGGCTCCAGTGCAGATCCCTCAGCCTGCTGGTACAGATCCTTCATCCTGCTGCTTCAGGCTTTCTAGCTTCCACCTCTGGCCTTGGGCCTTCCCAGTGCAGATCCTTGATACAGACTCGCATGAGACATGCAAGAATCCTTGATAAGATTTGCATGAGTCCATGCTGTGGGCTCTAGGCCTCCGGCTGTACTCTGTAGGACATTGCTACGGGTCCTAGGTCTCCAGCTGGATGCATGTGGGTGGGACACTGCAGTGGGATTCAGGCCTTTGGCTGGATTCTTTGGTTCTCTGGCTTGCAGACAGATCTCTTGCATTTGTCTACATTAGAATTTTTGAGTGAATATTATAAAATAATCCTATAAACTGTGTGTCTTGTATTAAATCTATTCCTTGCAAACCCTGACTACAACACTAACTGTAGGGCATAACCTATCATATTTAATAGATAATACCAAGTAGTTTCCCAAAGGGATTGTCGGGTATACCTGCATTGATTCAGAGTTACAGTCACTCTACAACCTTGTTAGTACTTGGGGTTCTTATTCTGATTCTGGCCATTCTGGTGATATATAGCACGCTGTCTTTATGGTTTTAATTTCATTTCATGGATTGTCAATAAATTAAACATGTTTCTCAGGTATATTGACCACTTCGATGTTCTCTTTTATGAATGCTTTCCTTGAAGTCTCTTCCTCTTTTTATATTGGATCACCATCTTTGTGGTGGACTTTTAGGGGGATATTTATATACTGACATGACCTTTTTTGTTATATGTGTTGCAGATATTACGTGCCACTCTGAGCTTGATTTTTCACTATTTTATGGTGTCTGTGGATGATTAGAGAATTTTAATTGTAAGATAGTATATTTTATCAATATTTGCTTCTATAGTTAATGTTTTCTATGCCCTTTCAAGAGAGCTTTGCTTACTCTTGCCATGAGAGTATTCCTTGATAGTCTAAAAGCCTTGTTGTTTCACACTGTATGTTAGATTTATGGTCCACATGGCATCGTTATCTTTCCCTTCCTCTCCTGCTTCTCATTTCTCTTTCATTTTCTTTCTTTCCTCCTTTTTTTCTTTTATTTTGGTGCTGGAAATTGAAGCCCAAGGTGTCTTCCATCCTACCACTGAGCTACACTGCAGCCCACTGCATAGACCTTTGTGTATGGTGTGAGGCTGGGATCAAGTTTATTTTCTTCCATTGTTTCTATCCACTGAACTTGCCCCATTCATGGAAAATGCTTCCTTTCCTCAATGGTCTGTAGTGACACTTTGGTCACAAGTTAAGTACCTACTAATTTATGGAAAAATCACCATGGCTTTTCCCTTTTATTCTGTTAGTGTGGTGAAGTTTTCTTATTATTATTATTTTGTTCTTCTCTTTGTCCTGGAATCCAAGGCTTCACATATACAAGACAAGTGTTCCATGACTGAGCTATGGCTTCAGCCCTCAAAAGGTTTGTAGATGTTAAAACAGTCTTTTATTTGGGACTAAATACAACTTGGTTGTGTGAAGTATTATATATTTTATCTATTGCTGCATGCATTTTATTCATATTTTGAAAACGTAATTTTATAGCAATGTTTATGAATTAAATAGTAACTGTTGTTTTCTTTTGCTATAAAAGCACTCATCAGTTGTATGTTCAAGTTTAGCTGGCTCATGAAATAAGAAGTATTCTCTCTTTCTCTTTTTCTCAATCCCTCTTTTCTTCTCTGCTTTGATTTTTCAATGCTGAGAGAGAGGAACCTTTAGATAAGAAGCATCCTTTTAACACACACATGCATGCACACACACATTTCAGTGATGGGGATTATTGAGCCCAGGGCCTCATGCCTGCTAGGCAAGTGCTGTACCACTGAGCTATACTGCCAGGACTTTCAAGAACATTTTATTTTGAGACAGGGTCTTGCTAAGGTGCCTAGACTGTTTTTGAATTTAGGATCCTCTTGCTTTACCCTCCTGGGTAGCTGACCTTGAAGGTATATCACACCAGGCTTGACTTCCTTCTTTATACAGTGGTACTTGGTTCACAAACTTAATTATTTCCACAATTCTGGTTGTAAACCGAATTGGACCAGAACCAAATCAAATTCAATGGTTAAGCTCAATGTTGACCTAATGGGGAAATTTGATTCAGTTCTTATCCAATTCGGTTTGTGATCAGAATTGTGGAAAGAATTAAGTTCATGACCTGAGGTACTACTGAATTCTCTTAAAAGTGGAAACATAAATAAGTCTAATTTAATACGGTAATTAAATATGCACATAGTGTGTTTGAGTAAGTGCTTACCAGCTTCCTCCCTCTCAAGGCCCTGTGCATTTTAATATAGTTTCCCACAGGGAGCTGGCCCTGTGTGAGTTTTGTGAGGGAAAGCAAGCAGCGTGGGGCTGTCCACCAGGACATTTGGCTGCGGTGTCTCCGCGGTGCGCTGGTGTGTCCGAGGCTGACACTTATTACCGCACTCAGTTCTGGGCCCAGGAGGCAGACCCATCCTGGGTTTAGGAGACAGCTTGTAGCGTGAGGGCCCTTTGAGGCACGAAACAAGCATTTTGGATCGTGCACCTGACCCTGCCCAGACTCTTGAAAGGTAATTTCACCTCTGACTTTTGACCTCCCCATCAGTCTGCTGTGGACCTCACAGTTCCCGCCTCTCTCCCTGTGTCCTGTTCTCCTTCAGTGTCGAGCTCTGTCACTGACTGCCGGGGCCACAGCATCAGTGGGATCCTGGCTCATCGCTGCGTCTTCCCCACTGTTCCTGCTCTCGCTCTCCGTGGCAAGCGAAGGTTCACCCTTGCTGAAAATGCTGCGGTGGTTTTGCATCACTCTCCAAGACGATTTGGCTTTTGTTCTCCCAGGGATACCTTGGACTGGGTGATTTACAGACAACAGGAATTCACTGTGTGTGTTTCTGAAGGTGGTGACGTCAGGATGTGGCTGCCGGCAGACTGGGTGTCGGAGAGGACCTCATGGATGGTACCCTCTTGCTTTATCCTTGTGTGCTAAAGAGGAAGGGAGCTGCCAGGCTCTCAGGAGGACCCTCAGCCCCAGTTCTGCCCAAAGGCCCGCCCCTCACCACCACCACGTGGGCCCGAGGCTTCCCCATGTCCCTCCTGTCCAGCTCGCTTTCGTCACCGCTGTGGTCTGCAGCCCTGCTCTTCCTGCTCTTTCTGCAAGCTCCGTCCGAGCACACCTTGGTTCTGTGTTCCAGCCTCTGCTCCACTGGCTGCTATCCCTGGAAAGGAGTATCCATGTCTGCTTCTGGGACATCTCCATTCTCCTACAGTCAGCCCAGCTGGACACCCTTGACCCCCACCCGCTGGGGCTTCAGGGGTCTCCTTTCTGCCCCAACTCTGTTTTCATTGGTTAGACAATCAGAGAGCTCTTGGATGGCAGAATCTTGGACACCTGAAACTTGCGGGTAGCAGGTGCTCAATAAAATGTCTGGATCAGAGCAGCCGGAAGGACAGGGACTTGCTGACTGCTCTGAGTTTCATTTCATCTCTACTTGGAAGTCTGAGATGGAAGAAAATGGTCATAATGTCCAGATTGGAAGTGGGCAGAAAGGCAAAGGGTAACCTGTCAATTCAATCTCATCCCGGAAGACTGAGTCCAACCCTCCGAGGTGGAATGGCTTTTTATACACTGGGTTAGCAACAAGAATATTCTGTGTAGGTAGCTTTTTCCAGAGGAACAAACTTAAGCAATTTAAGAATTAAATGAAAAAATTCCTGCTTTAAAGGCAAATCAACCAAGATCCTTTCCCTTTCTCTTATTAATAAAATAGTTTACACAGAGGCTCCTCAAGAGGTTGTGCGCGGGATTCACGAGGATCATTAAAGTCTCCCCTAGACATTCCTTTTCTTTGTCAAACTGGCTGCGCCCTACAAAGGGTCACAGAAGATGGACGTTCTGGGGGCTGCTATATGAATGGGTCTTGCCGTACAGTGGGGCCATTCATTTTATTTGGCCCATTTATTGCAAGTACATTCTAAATTTGGTCTTAATTATTTTTCCTTTCACAAAAATATTTTGTGGGATCTTTTTGAACCCTGACTACTTCCTTCTTGCCCCTTACAACAGAAGCCAGGAGTATTATTTTTGTTCTCTTCTAATTAAAATAATTGCTTGGTTCCTTTTAACTAGGTTCATGCAGTTATTAGCCTAATATGTGGAAGGGTGCCATGGCGTGCTCACGAAACAAAATGAGAAGGGATCATGTAGCTTCACATGAAAAGGACGTGGCTGTGCCAGCAGCATTATGTCCCTTCTGCCGCTGATTTCTAAGGGCCTTGCATAAACCTGGCCCTGGTACCCTTGCTAAAAGCCTGTGAAGCAAAAGGAGAGCTCCGCGCTCTTACGGCGGTATTGAGCTGGCTCCGCGCAGTCTGAAGAGGGCACTTGTTGTGCGGGGTGAGGTACAGGCTCGGCTCTCCCCCTTTGTCTTTCAGAATCCCGCCATTCAAGGACAGACGCCGCTTGTCCTCTCTGCCAGGGACGGCAGTGGAGAACGAAATGCCTGGATATGTGCGCTCACCGAGTGTGCTGAAAATGTAGCTTCGGACCAGAAGAGCCAAAGAGACGAGACTTTTCACTAAGTGATACTTTTGATGCAATCGAAGGATTGGCAAACTGACTTGTTGCCCATTTTTACAAATAAAGTTTTATTGGCACAGAGTCATGCCCACCTTTAGTGTATTGTCTCTGCTTGGTTATCACAGCAAGTGCCAAGATAGGGACCACATGGTCTGCCAAGCTTAGAACATTTACCGTCTGGCCTTTTACAGATAAAGTTCAGACACCTTGGCCTTCGTCCAGTTCCTTGCATATCCACTCAGTGCCTACTCTAGGCTGAGAAATACTTGTGCAGGGTGTTGTTTGTTTGCTTATTTGCTTTTGGCACTGGGATTGGAACCCAGAGCCTGACACATGCAAAGCACACGGTCAGAGGAGCCACTGAGCTCCAGCCCCTGGCCCCTGGCCCCTGGGGTGCTTTCTAGTGATGCTATTTGAAAACATGCTCAGGGTCTCATCAGTGGGTGTTACAGGGAGGTGTGTGGGAAGCAGAAAGCCAGAGGATTTGGGGCCAGAGGCCATGGGGAGAGGGCAGGTTCTGCCATGATTACCCCAGCCACAGGAGTGGGCTGTTAATGAACCTTCTGTCTCTGATGAAATTGCTGAGCTGATCAACTTACAAGGAGCGAAGCTCATCCTGGCACGTGATTTCAGCAGCGTCGATCTGTGGAAAGGTGGTCCCGGGGCTTCAGGCCCGTGGTGAGGTAGCAGCAGGTCACTGCAGGAGGAGCAGAGCTGCTCGTGTCAGGGGGAGGAGGAGTGAGGTGGGGTCCCCATGAGCCTCACCGCCTCCCAGCCTTTGAGACATGGCCTTTAAGGGACATTGGAGATGTGAACCATGCACAGATCATGGCTGCTCTTGGGGACCCTGGGGATGGGGACCATTCACGTGTCCTGACTGCTCTGTCTCTCGGCAGGAGCAGGGGCTGTGCATGCAGCAGGGACTTCCGGCCCGGACTGTGTTATTAGTTACATCCATGCTCCACCCTCAGTGCTGTGAACTTCTGCTTCCAGCCAAATGTGGACGCGCTTTGCCACCTGCTGTGGCCTGGACGCTCAAATGAGAGAATGTGAGCCGTTGTGTTTCTGAGTCACAAGCTACTGTATTTGTGGAATAGACATTAGCTATAAAAATGTTAGTGTAAATGTCATCACCCCTATTTGGCACGGAAGGAAATGAGACTGAGGTAGCACGCCCTGGTCAGACAGCCGGCCAGCAGAATTGCTGAGTTACAGCTCCAGGTGTTAAGTCACAGCTCTTCCCAGTATCTCTTCTTCATCTGCCTCACTCCTTGCCACCTGCCCCTAATTCTTCTTCTGCTCCTTCTCCCCCTTCCTCTTCCTGCTCTTCCTCTTCTCTTCATCTTCTTCCTTCCCCTTCTTCCTCCTTCCTCTCCTGCTCTTCTTCCTTCCTCTCCCTGTTCTGGTTCTTTTCATTTTCTTCCTCCTTCTCCTTTTTCTTCTTCTAACAGTACTGGGGACTGAGCCCTTCTTTCTCTCCTGAGTCTTTCCATGGATTCAGAAATGTCCAGGCTCCAGCTGGGTTGTGGCTCTGTGGTAGAGCGCTTGCCTGGAATGCACAAAGTTCTATATTTGATTCCCATTGCTGCAGAAAAGAAAAAAAAGTTTGGTCATTTAGTCTATATCTTCCTTCCTTCCTTCCTTCCTTCCTTCCTTCCTTCCTTCCTTCCTTCCTTCCTTCTTTCCTTCCTTCCTTCCTTCCTTCCTTCCCAGGTCAACATTATTTAAGAATCAACTATGAACAGGGTAAGCTAATTTTTGTAGGAGAGTGATGCTTGCAGAGAGCAGAGTTGGGAGACTCTCCAGACCACTTTGTCCTCCTGTGGCTGGAACCCTCTGGGAGTACAGCAGTTCTCCCTGATTTCCCCTGTGCTGCCCACAGCATGGGTGCTTGCCAGAGATGGGGGGTGAAGAGGAGTTGGGGAGATGAGAGAGGGCCAATATCGCCTGCTGGGGGTGGTCAGCACTGTCTCCCTAAGGCCACGTGGCACTAGTTGGTAGTCAGCGAGGTGCTAGTACAACATGGTGGAAACTAAGGGTGGAAACTCATATACCTTCCTGTCCCTGAGGCAAACATTTGATGGGGAAGTTATGTCCTAGCCTTGTCTTCTCTGTCATCCCAGCCAGGAAGTGGAGAGGCGTCTGTGCCATGTGCCCCCACCATGACCTGCTGCCTTTCCACAGGCACAGAATCAACAGGACAAACCTGTCATGGGCTGAGGCCTCCAAAACTCCTTAAACTGGGCCTTTCTTCCTTTTAAATTAATTATCTCAGGTAGCTTGTTACACTCACAGACAGCTAATACACCACCATGCTGCAAGTGTTTCCAGATTCTGTGTTATATGTTGTGTGAGTGTGTGTTTGCATGTGTGTGTACACACCATGAGAGGAAATAAAAAAGTGATGCTAAAGTATGGGAAGTAGATTGCAGGAGCCATTGAAGCATAGAGACAACCTGGGCTTGTGAGACTTAGAAGTTAAGATTTTGTGAATGTCTAGGGGAATCCATATTAGAAAATGACCCAATATGAATTATGCAGTTGGAGAGCATCTGTTGAACAAACTGTGCCACTGGTGGACTCCGTTAATCATGCAGTTAGTTACAGTCTTTAGTCAGACCATGTTCACTCAATGATGTGTCTTGTAATTTCTGAGTTGATGATGTCAAATGTGCTTGCAGGAAGCAGCTTCCGCGAGATCACTGACTCTGGCTCGTCACTGTAAGAAATGTGTGAGTTCTTGAAAGTTTCTGTTTTTGACATTTGTCCTTGTCAGTATAAGGACTGACTGACAAATATGGTAAATGGTTAGATTTTAAAAATTATTACAGTAAAAACATTGCCAAGAATAATGGGATAAATGAAGTGAGCAGTATTTTGAGGGGGGATTAATAGCCATGTATCCTTCACTGTGATACATTTTTTTATTTAAATATTCACCATTGTTTGAATACACCTCATTGATAAAATGCTTGTGGCAGTTTCTGTCAAATAAAAACATGGCAGTGTGTCCTCCTCCACCTTCTTCACCAGATCCAGCACAGTATAATTTCTGGCTCTTCCCCAAAGTCAAAATGACCATGAAAGGTAGACTTTTTTTTTAAGGGCAAACATTTTGAACCAATTCAGGACACTGAAACAGTCAGGAGAGTGCAGCTAACGACACTCAGGAAAGAGGACTTCAGAACTGTTTCAAAAAGTGGCAAAATGATGAGATTAAGTGTGTTCAAAGCCAAGGGGAGTATTCTGAGGGAGATTATTGGTAATGTATCTTTTACTGTAGTAGTAGAAAAATTGTACATTAACCACATTTTTGAACATACCTTTTATTGCTTTCATATTTAATGTAATCAGTTACTTGTTCTTTTCAGATTTACCTCAAAACCCCAAAGTCACATTATTTTCTGAGAACAAAGGGGATGGTGAGGTTGTCTGATGAGAAACCCAGCCTTCTAGAATCTTCTAGAAGCTCGAACTGTACAAGTGCCGCCTGCAGTGACTCTGAGAGGTGCAGGAGGAAGTGCTGCCCTGTTCCCCACTTATTTCTGCCCCTGTGGGCCAAGTCTGGAGGTGATGATGTCCCGTTCCGCCTTTCTCCCAGGGAGCCCAGGCCCCAGGGCCTGTTTCAGGAAATGCAAGTTGGCCAACACCCAGGAAGGATATTCACAGCAGGGCTTAGTGATGTTGCAGATGATGCATTTATTTCATTTGAAAGGAATTTGTACCCATTGATTAATTAATTTAACTTTTTTCACACTCTGGTTTCTCTTCAGATTGAATAACTCTTTCGCCTTTCTAAATTTTAAATTATTGTAGCAGAGTGAATTTTCTCCCATTTGGTGTGCAGTACATTTCTTTTTCTACAACCACTCACTTAGCAGGTCTTCTACTGAAAAACGGTCACTGTGTTGCAAATGTGTTTTAGAGGGGAAATAAATCTTCAACACAGTGCAAAATCCCCTGGAATACACGGCCGTTTCTTCGGTGTGCAGACTTTCTGTTAGCGATTAAGCACGATTCGGGAAAAAGCCAAATCTCATTGAGAGCTGTAGGAACTGCTGGTCTCTTGCAGCTGGTGGTACTGTATGACCATTACCACACACAGCGCTCCTGACAGTAGGCACATGGTGCTTTGGGCTCTCTGAGAGCAGAGCTGGAGGGAAGTCTCTGTGCTGCTTCCTCCGTGGGGAGTTCAGCCGCAGAGAGGGAGGGATGTGGAACACAGAGCTGAGGGCTGCAGCTGAAAGGACAGGCGCAGGGACACAGGTGTGCCACTGACGCTCCCACTTCCTGAAGCCTTCACCCCCTCCCAGGGCTCCAGCCATGGGATCATCCTTCTACTGGATCTTTGGAAGATGTTAAAGATCCCATTCACAGCTCTAACTGTTTGACCACTGGAGACCAGGATGGGGTAAATACTGGCCTCAAAGACAGGTGCATGTCCAGCCACCCACCTTGGGGGGATTTGTTACAGCAGCTGTTGGAAACCAATACAGAGACCCGAGCACAAAGATGAGCACTCAGGATAGGCTGGGAGCAGGAGAGGGGTGAAGAAAGGGATTCATCTGTCAATTCCAGCCTCTGGGGTGCAAGTGGTTTTCCTCGGGAGAAATGAATACTCCTCAGTTCCTTCTTCCTCTGAGTTGAGAATGATGAAAACCCAAGGGAAGGAGAGGAGCAGTCAGGACGGAGAGCCAGGCCACTCCTGGCAGATGGGCCGTGCTCTATGAACTGAACTGTGGGGCTCTGGGGTGTAGGAAGTGGCCCTGAGCAATGTGTCCATGCTGGCAGTGTGTGGGGGACTGAGTCCTGGACAGTGACCTCTTCTCATCGTAAGTACACGGGCGTCCTTGCCAAGCTTGCTCACCAGGCATGGATGTGCTGGCTTCAGAGCTCATGCCTCTCCAGGTGGTGCCCCATCTCCATGTGGAGCTGAAGATCCTTCTTCCTGGAGCCCAACCGGTATCCCTGGCCCCCGCTCGGTTCTCATCTTACTTCACCTCCAGCAAGGCTCATTCTTACATGTAAAGCCCAAGACAACTGAAGATAGACCCTTACCTTCTTTTTCTTATCAGGCAAAAAAACCCTCCA